ACCATTCTTATCGGCCACTGCTTCTTTGTTTACATTACGAGTCTTGGCCGCCTCGGGCCACCCATTTGCAACATTATTAGCCTCCAACTTCTCTGCTCTTTCCTCAGCCGCCACAGCTTTGGTATGTCCATTTTTAACTATCCATAGCTCGCGGTCTCCAGTCTTGCTTGTCACTGACTCATTCCCTCCATCCCCGTTCTTACTGTGTTTATCCTTCGCCGACTGTAGCCCATTATCCATATATTTGCTCATAACTATGACAATCCTGCCGTTTTTGTTTTTATTTTTTACTATTTTCATTCTACCATTCATGCCATTGCTTTTCACGCTTTGCTTGGCTAGTTCTGGCCCCGTCCCGGATCTCGAATCCATTTCCTTCATTTCAGGCTTCTCTATGCCTTCAGACTGGGAACGATTTCCATTTTTGGCACCATTGCGCAGCGCTTCATGTTCCTTAATACTGTGATGTTGCTCCTGATTTCCTTCAGTTTCGCTCCTGTGAGAGTCGGCCTGTTGGTTAGGATACATGATGTCTGGTTGGTAATGGTGATGCTTTTTGCTGTTAAGCTGGTAGTAATGTTTAGTGGCTTGATGCTGACGCTGTTCCTCGGTGTTACAGGGTTTATATTGATGAAGCTTCTTACTGTTCAGCTGATACTGGCGTTTAATGGGTTGCTGCAGGATATCACTCTTGGACCTTTCTTCTTCCACATAATTGTCCTGCAGCTCCGATGGAACATTTGACCGTCGAGCAAAAGCTGGTAGCTGGAAATGGAGAATAAATTGATAAGTATTATTTGGGTTTCAAATTCTGGTAAGTAGCTTATAATCAATTAACTAAAGAGGAGGAATACAACTTAGATCTGTATACCAGCTCCACATTTAACCACTGATCAATGAAATTTAAGTTGTGTTCTTAGCTACCTCAGTAGCAAAGCTCAAATTATATAGACTTAGATTTCCACCTTCTTACTTGTTTCACTTCCCTGGTCTAAAAGTTCCAACTCCAAGCCCTAAAGCACAGGCATATGGCCAACAAGGTCTATTTCACTATCAATCTGCTTCATATGTTAAGGAGGAACCTGTGACATGTCTTAATCATTGATTACTTCTTACTCATTGTTTCAAAGCATGAGATGCCAACTGTTCTTACTAATCTATTCATTTATGAGTATAAGTGGTCTCACAGTAATCAACATCAGCTTGTACTTAGTAACCCAGTTGATGACCACTACTTTTTGTTTAGTTACTACCAAAGTTGCTTCGGATTCTCTATTTATTAACAAATCTGAATAAGTTAACTTGTACCTGGTCTTTTTAAATATATTTTATGATATTTGGTGACTACAGATTGCAAATTTGGAACATTAAAGATTTGAGATTGTATTGCTAAACAATAGTATTGTTAAAGTACATCTAGATAATTTTGTACTCAAATTTCCATTTGCGTCCCTACATCTATTTATGTCTTTCAAGAACATATTCACTTGCACTTTAGGTTTTGTGTCAACATCACTTTATAATATAACATTGATATTTACATAGTTGCTTGCTGTAAGTGAGCATAAGGTTTGACTGCGAATATTTATGAAACTCAATTTGTCTTGATTAAATGGAGCAAGGAAATATGTGATGGATTGCTCTAATCTGGTTCATATATAACACAAACAAATGAGCATTCGAGGGTTGATATTACCTGAACTAGTAGGTGTTTTGGTTTGGGTCCTCGTTTACGGTAGCCCATTGATTGTTCTTGTCTTTCCCTGCGGTCATAGGTAAAACAGTCAGTCTTAAAGTTACTGGAAAAATTAAATTCATAATCAGTTTACAAAATGTTTTCTATGTCCACTCCTGAAAAGACCTGATCTCTTTGGCTGTGCTAAACTTTGTATGTATCCTACAACACCCTAACATAATGCAAAATACTTTTAATTTAAACAGTTTCTAGGTGCTCAGATTTTTAATTAAATGTTTACACTTGCATAACCAACTGAGTGATTAGATATGAAGTCAGAAATTGCTGGAAAAACTCAACAGGTCTGGCAGCATCTGCAGACACAAAGCAGAGTTAACATTTCAGGTCCAATGACCCTTCCTCAGATTACATTGTCACAATACACATCAAAGATATGGTGTTGCAGATTATAAGTAAAGCTTTACATATTATTGTGTCAAAGGGGCAAGTTCCTGACTTGCAATGTATATTCAATTAAACAAGTTCACATTAAACATTAAGATATCTGCCCAATAAGCTATAACAATATTATTTCTACATAAAATTTTAGTGAGAGAATGTCTTAGATGACCATTATTTACAACTGGTAAGTCTGGGCCTAAAAGAATGTCTGTGATCTGACAAATCTGTATATGCTAAGCAGCCTTTCTTGTTTCTACATGTGCACTAATAAAAAAAAAACATCACTTCTCATTTACTGCGCATTTTCCAGTTTATTATTGGTCTCTGTACTTATTTCCAGATTTTAAATGTATAAATGCATACTAATTGTCTGTTCCTCTGAAGTATACTTTGAGAGTTCACTTGGGTGCCGTTATAGTAATGTTAGGGCTACTTCAACCACAGAATAACACAACAATATGTCCACCTCCTGTCAGCTTTCTAATAATTGTTCTCTTATTGGTCATTTAAAATGCACATTTAAAAAAGAGCATCTAACAGCTCACTGTTTTCCTTGGTTCCTTTGGATAGTTTACAAACATTTCATCTGATAGTTCATGTTATTATTTTGCCATATTAAATGAGTTAAAATAAGTGTAGCATGCAGTTAAGTCCAAAATGCATCAATACGTTTTGATCATTGTTTTTATTCTGCATAAGACTGGAATGCATTGTATTAAATCTCTGCATGGAATTTTACTATCGACGTAACTGAAATTAGACTACTGAGGCCTTGAATGCAACAAGTACAGTGATACTTTGGCAATTGTTACATTGCAAGACTGCACTCTTATTAAAGTTATTTCTTACACAAAGTATTATGATTTCACTTGGGCTGTATGTTCATCAGTATGCTCCTGTAACCCAGTCAAAATATGCAAAAGTTACAGGTTAGCTTAGTTTGAATAACTGCAACCGACTTGTAACTGGCGGCAGGTGGAAAGGAGAAACTTCAATTTCACTCGTTGGCCCTCCTAGTGTGCTGTGTCTCTTTAATTCAATTTAAACGAAGAGAACGCGTACTACCTATGCCTATACGCAAATGCACGTAAGCCTCTTTTTAAAAATGTATTGTTGACTTAGTCTAATTATTTCTGTTCCATCAAGATCTAGTTATAAGCAACTTCTTGTCCCTCCCACCATGTTACACGCAGCATGATTCCATTTTATTTATTCACATGATTGCAAGCAGCTATGGCAACCCCGTGAGCTACTCACCAGTCGGATCGATTATCGTGTAACTAATTAAAAGAGATATGTAACCCTCTGTGTCCTTTTTTCAGGTTACAGTGTTAGTTAAAAGCAACGTTGCCCCTTTAAAATGATACTTGCGCCATTGGCAGGTGTATCAAGGAACAGGAGCGTAGTGAGGCCATTAGAAACAGGAACACTGGTTAGAAGGACATTGTGTAGTCTGACAGCCCAGAACCTCCCTACACGAGTCTCACTTCGAAGATAAATGCACCATCTAGCTACGATCTGGAACATGGCAGCAGTAGTCACATCACTATTGCAGCTGTGGTTAAAAGGGAGATTTTACAAACTTTTACATTCCAGTATTTATTGCGCCAATATATCTTATCAATTTCTTATCTAATGTCCTTGCCCGATTTGAACTTCAGTAATGACAGGAAAGGTATTGGCATTTGGAAGTATAACGCTACCAGCTGATTATCGATTTCCCACCCCATCCCCCTTACGGTTAAGGCCATCTCAACATATTTCACCGTGGACTGGCTTTTGCTAAACTGCGCTCAGAATAGATCCCAAGGACCCAGGCGGTGTCTTAGACCACATCTGCACCGAAACATCACCGTGTTCTAATCTGGTTTCATTTCGAAACAGTGCAGCCCCTCTACTTTCGAAAGCTCTGAGCTTTTAGCCTTATTTATTCTTTGTTGGTCGTGTTTGCGTTTATGTACAAAATGTGTGTGTGTGCAGACTAGTGGCAGAGTTCTTTCGACCCTTCTGTTTTTCTTTACCTGTGCTGGAAAGCCAGGAGCAGCCGAGGGTCCAGGATGTTCTCCTCTGGCTCCCACGTGTTGTATCTGCGGAGAAGACACCAGCAGTTCACTCAAAACCTCTCCAAATACCCAAGCGGAAAATTAAAACGAACTAGTGCTGCTATTCTAGCAGTGTGCAAGGGAGGCCATTTTCACTCCATTCACACACACTATCATATCTTTCACAGTCCATTAAGACATTCCAGGACTCTCATTGGCCATTTTTTTGTTACATTGGTTTAGCTACTAATAATTCACTGATGGCATTTGTCAGAAGGGAATTGATTTGACTCCCATATGATTCCTCCAGCCATGCAGACATTCGGACGCAGTAGTTTATCTTTAATATTTTAAAAAATGCAAAAAAAAATGGGACTCACTTGGGAGACCATCCCCTCCATTTCACCAGGTATTCGACTTTTCCCTGCGGAGAAATAAAGACAGCGTTCGTCACTGAACAGCAGAGACAGCACTATTCCTGATCAATAACCTGGAGGGATTAGTGTGGAGGTGGCCTCTAGCCGGTCACATTTACCTTCCTGATCCGTTTTTTCTCGATGCTTTCCACAGCAAATACGTGCTCCCCTGCGGCTGGTAACTCCATAGCGATGCGAAGAGCTGAACGGACGCCGCTTGACCTCTGCTAACTGCAGCTCGCTTCACCCGGAAGGGAGCACTCCTGCTGTGGGCAGTCACGGCTTTCCTTTCGCTCTTCTTGTTTATCTTCTTGGCACCCTTTCTGGGCGGGCTTTTTTTTTCCTGTCCTTTCGGTTCTAGACTCCGTAGTCACAGACCCGTTCTCTCTCTCTCTCCCCCTCTCCCTCTCTCTCTGCTGCAGAGCCGGCAACGCAGAAACGCAGGCAACACAACGCTGTGGCGTCAGGATCTGGAGCTGTCAATCAGCTCAGCCCCGCCTGAGGTCGGAGAATCTTACTACAGCACCAAATACGGGCAAGACGCAGCCTTGTATGGTAATGGCAGAAAGATAAATTCTGTTTTTCCAAATTAAGACAGAACGACATGAAAATGAACATCAGAAAATGGTGCTTCTCCCCATCCCTGTCCCTCTCCCTCCTCATTGGGACTGTTGTCTCGCATCTAAACAATGTAATTCCCCGAGCTCACAGTTTTGTTCCAGTGCAATGTGCAAATGTCTTTCGTGTCCTCTTCTAATTGGCTATGCATCGGGCTAGCAATGTCTTGCGTTCTTTGAGAAACCTGCTTCGTTTCTGACAGACATCAAAACGCGTCACTATTTTATTTAATTTTTCCCTACTACCCCATAACAGGGGCTGCTACGTTCGCCCTTTATTGCGCATACATTTTGCGAAGTACACAGTACCGTGAGTCAGCTTGTAACCAACCCCCCCTCCCCAAACACATTGAGCCGATATAATGCACGATCATGGCAATAGTGATGATCATAGCACCGTGCTACAGTGTTAGTCAATGTTCATTTGTCTCAGTGGCTTGTAATTTAGTGCTTTCCACCGTGGTGGAGTGTTACATGATAGAACCATTGGAACCAGCACACAATACTCTTCCTCATTCAAAGAGCAACCATGGCTCCTTCTCGTAGGGCATTGCCAATTTCAAGCTGTAACTCTGCCAATATTCAACATAGGACACAATACCGCGGGAACAAGTTTTGCTTTACTATTTGTGCGTGTATCTAAGTAAATATGAGAAGCATCAGTCAATGTGCATCGGCTGCTTTTCAAAAAAAACAATCGCTGAACAATTACTTATACAAGGTGAATAGAAGCCTTGTCTGGGTATTAAGTTCGAATGGATGATTGAAGGAAACTCGCAATGATTATTAATGCAATTTCCATGTCCATTTCTCTGGGGTCAATTTTCGAAACTGAAAAGCTGAAATGAAAGAAATCCACTGGCACAAAATTAGAAATTGAAGGATCTCAGGCAAACCGCTTGGGAGAGGCAACCTAGTCGCTGAAAAGCGCAGCGTATCCCATCCCCCTCCCCATAGCTCTTGACTCGTATTTATCAACACTCAAAATGCTTCTGACACAGAATGCCCATATTAGGATATTGGTCACGGACGAAATGTAGAAGCATTGTTGCAAACCCCGGATACTTCAATGATTGCAGAATACTTTCTGTTGATTTCAGGAATAATCGCTACACTTACACGTTAAAAAGAGAACAAATAAATGGAACAGCCATTTAGTCGGGTGTTCATCTAACCCGAATTTCGCTTGCAATAGGTGTATTTACTTGGAGAAAAATGTCGAAACTGTTATTTTGTGTCCTGATGTCCTCGTAGCGATTAACACGTGGCTAATTGGCACTTTGCGACACTTATTTTAATCATCCAAAGTAGATCATGTCGCTGTCTCCAAACCATCTCCCTCATGATGCAGCGCACTGTTTGGTATTATTGGTATTTTACATTCAAATAACGCCAGTCAATGAACCAATTCACACATGTCTTATTGCTGTAATGATAGCTTGTCTTCTTGTGGTGTGTTACTATTGGCCCTTTGGGCATAAATGGAATTATCAGCCGAAAAGCTTTGTCACCAAAAGGTTAAACGTATACCCAGTAAAAGAAAACGAATCAAGTACTAATCAAGGACATACACAAAATATAAGAAAAATGCCCATGAATGGTCATCTTCAGCACCCAAAGAGTGCAGAGGCCCAGGAATGAGAAGTACTTTGAGATCATTCTTTTTGTTGCTAATAGTTTAGTGTTTATATCAGCATAGTTGTCACTTAAAATGGATTTTTACATCTCACTGAAATATTTTTGCAGTTACCCACCCCACACAAAGATCTGTGAATATATGCTTCAGTATAGTCTGATCGAAATTTACGTTTGCTACATTTACCGTGGAATATTCAGACTTGCTGGAATAATTGGATGCATAGTCTTCCTGCTCATAAACAAATATAGACTCATTCCAAATCACAAGATCCACTTCTGCTCGTGATGGTTGCATGATCTAGATACTTCCTCTGGTGCAAATGCATTCCATGTAAAGCCATTTTAAATTGTTGGAAATTATAATCCAGACGTCTGGCGCCACAACCCTGAAGATAGCCTAACTTTGTTTTAGCTACACGTATCTTTGCATTGGAGAATAAGGAATACTGATGTCTATTTTTCTTACTGTTAATAGTCATTTATTATTCTGAGTAGATTAGTTCCATTGTTATTATATTCAGATATTTTCTAGTCCTCGAACAAGGGAACAATTCAGTATGTTTATATTCAACAGGTTTGATGTTTGGACATTGAGTATGAAGATTAATCAAAAATGACAAAGATTCCCTCGACTTGAATGTGGATCCTTGGCATTTGGAGTAAGCCTTACATCATTGTTCTCAAGCCTAACTATGTTGAATAGAAAATATTGAAGAGTAACTAATTCCATGAAGAATAACAGATCTACATTATGGTTATCAAATTTGTTAGTTATAATCATTAAGTAGAAAGATTACTTGCAATTAATTAAATACTTGTAAGTTTAGATTTGGCAAAGCATGCATGCATCCTTTTATCTTAGTAACGTGCAACTTACACATGGCACTAAAATAGTGTGAATGCAAAGTTGCAAAAATTCTCATACAATTGGATCAAATGATCTTGATCAACAGCAAATATCATGATCCATATGTGGCATCCTTACTTTACTAAAGTGATACACATGTTTCTATGTCTTTCCACATCTTTTATTTGATACCAATGCTCGTATGTTTGATTTCCATCCATCTTAGGACTTCGCCTACTCTGCTAACATCCATTAACTCTTAAGTAATCTACTGAGAAAGACAATGGTTCAGGAAGTCTGAGGACAGGCATTTCTAAAATGCAGAAGTTCAGACAAATTTATCAATGTGCTCCATTAGATAACAACTTTTCTTTATTCTACAGCCCATACACTTCATTGTAGAAAATATTCTGTGTTATGGTAATAAAATTTGTTAGTTATAATCATTAGGTAGAAAGATTACTTGCAATTAATTAAATACTTGTAAGTTTAGATTTGGCAAAACATGCATGCACCGTTTTATCTTAATAATGTTCAACTTATACATGGCACTAAAATAGTGTGAATGCAAAGTTGCAAAAAAGCTCAGAAGATCTTGGTCAACAGCAAATATCATAATCTATATGAGGCATCCTTACTCTACTAAAATGATACACGTTTCTATGTCTTTCCACCTTTTTTTATACCAATGCTCCCTATGTTTGATTTCCATCGATCTTGGGGCTTCCCTTACTCTGCTAACATCCATTAACTCTCAAGTAATCTACTGGGAAAGACAATGATGGGATGTCCAAAGTATGTCAGCTGCTTGATTTGTATAAAATAGTAATTCTGGTATTAAATTTATGGCTTATAAGCAAATTGGGCAACTTTTAAAAATCACTTCACATTCTTAGCAATTGTTGCTCCCCAATGAAATGAATAATTCCAAGTTCCTGGTTATGAATTCACAGATGAATTCCCACATTAATGTATCAATCTCAAATGATGTTCTCAAACTAGTGACACAACAGTGAAAATAGTGAAGACAACGTTATCTAACATAATATGGCATGACAATGGTTTGTCACTTTTACACAAAGATATCAATTGAATATCGTCAGCCTCCAAACTACATTTAGTGAATACTGATATTTGTACAATACGCAACATAGTTTTCTATATAGAAACTTGAAGTTCATTCTCTATTCAAGAAAACCTTCTGGTTCAAACTGTTAAAGGGCAATACTCTTCTCTATATGATTGAACACAATCATCCTATAATTCACCATTTAATGCCATTTCATATGCACTGCAACAAAAAGTCTAAGCAATGTTTTCCATTGAGATAAAGTAAAAGAGATCATCAATGCTGTTATCATTAGATGATGGCACAACTATCACTGCTGTAGAGGGGAAATTGAACTGTTAAAGATAACTTTATGGAATGAAAATTAAACAGTTGCCCAATTTCAGTCATTATGAAAAAACAGATGGTATGTTTTTCCAACTGTATTAACAATGCCCTGAGGTACAACAGCTTTGGCATAGGGTGCATATATTTCCTCAGGAATGTTTAAGGATCCAAATGCCTTTAAATTGCACATTATCCATTATTAGAGCAATCATAACAATGGTCCAGGAAGTCTGAGGACCAGCATTTCTGAAAGGCAAAAGTTCAGACCGTTGTGCTCCATTATACAACAACTTTTGCATATTTCTAGAGCCTTTACACTTCAAAGTAGAAATTCATTCCGCTTGAGTGACATTGATTCAAGTTTCAACTGGTGACCATGGATTGATATTTTGCCATATCTGATGATTAAATTAATTTGAAGTTTTGGAACACCATGTTCTATAATAACTAGTATTATGAAACATCTATGTTTTTGGATAATGTTTCTGTTGTAGTATATTGAGTTTTTAATGGCACTTCCAGAAACTGTACAGTGACCAACAAAGATTTATGATAATTATCATTTAAGAGTCTATCATAAAAAAACACTCATATTGTTATACCGTTCACATTTCAGTCAATGGAACAATTTTAATTCCGTTCAGTGATAGATGGCTACTATTATCTAAATGATAATATCAATTTTGATCATGTCTTTCGGAAGCCCTTGGTGAGGTAGATTTTGGATAGATGTTATACAGCGTGACCTGACCTCTGATGTTCTCAGCTACCATGTAGGGCATGGGTAATGTCCAACATATATCATTTTAAAAATAGTAGCTTCATGTAACGTACTTTATGTAGAATGTCGGAAACTTCATAAACGCACTCCTATTATGAAGGTTCATACAAAGCTCAGTCGGAACTTTTGTTAACCAGCTGTCCAATATTACCCCCAAAAATGTTGTTTTGTGTCATTGGAAATCACCTGTCGAAGTCGTAAAGGTATCATCATGTATAGCCCATATCAGTTAGAATCTAACTGGTTGTTATTTTCAGGCACGTGAACCAAATTATTGGAATGATTTGTTTTGGGCTTGCTATTTATTTAGTTAATTAATTGATCAATCGGTCAACAAGTACTGATTCCCCAAATTGTGGGTAGCGAGAAAAAACAGTACAATCCCTTTTAGCTGTCTAATTACAGCCTTCCCACCACATTTGCTTGCAGATGGCACCAATGGATCAAACAATGAAGCGGGGTATGGAAGATACAGGCAGGGGACCCTCCGATTCTTCTTTCAACAAGAGTACAAATTGGTCAAGCCAATTTCAAAGCATTAAAACACCACTCACTACTTAATAGATGCATTGGTTGTTTGTAGATAGTTTATGAATAGGTTTTCATGGTAGAACAATTATTAAAGTTAATCGCTCTTAATTATATTATGACGCCGATTTCAATGGCGATACTAATTCAAAAGTGCTGAAGGACCGAGAGAAGGGAAGGTGTGGTATGTCTGGGGCGCTGAGTGCACACCACGCATTCATCTCCAATGTTTCTTCAAACTGGTTTGAAAACGTCTCAAATTGAACTAAAATCGCCTGTTGACAGAAAGCAGATGGCGACCCTTGGTTGAAACGTGGCGTTTTGTGGTGAACACGCTCTTAAAGGTTCTACCGATGATTTTTTTTTCATCATCATCCGACATTGTTCAGCACCTCTAACTTTTAGCAATCTCCTGCGAACTATCTGATAACACTACTCGGCTTCGAGGAATTTCAGCATATGTAAAAAAAATAACGTTTTGGCGTTAATCGCTGATCTGAGCAACTGATGTGTTATCATGTGACAAATATGGGTCATTTTACCAGTTCCGATGATGCACGAAGCTTTTCAAGATGGTCAAGGCACAACACCGAATGTGTGTTTCATTTGCTCGGATCATTCAATCGTTTAACATTTGAAGGTTTGTGAGATGCGAATCATAAGGGATTCATTTCAAATCCCTTCCAAACCTAGAAAACAGTCTTTTTTTTCTTCCGTGGGATAAATCCGCAAGGCACGATTTGAATTCAAATGAATGAGGCACGTGAACTCTGGAGTGGGTGTTTCTTTTGGTGCATTTTTTAAAAACAGAAAAATCACTTAAGCAACTGACCATATATCATCTCAAATGTGTATGTGTCGATATCAAAACATATTGTGTCGAGACGTCTATTTTTCAGCATCACTCCAGTAAATTCCTCCATTAGGAAACTATCAGACAGCAAAACAGCCAAGACAGACTCCGCCATTTTCTCAGCTCTTATATTTCATTTGATCATGAACGGCATGTGCTGGATTATTTGTCCGTTAACATATACAAATTTTGGCTAACAGCTTGCCAAGAAGATGCGTTGATCATTCAGAAAAGGCAACATGTTCCATATAATTTGAATGTCTAACCATTCATAATGCGGGCTTAAGTGAAACAGATACAGCAGCTTCCCCCCCCCCCCCCCCAACCTGGCCAACTGACCGGCCACAAGGAGGTCTGTCTTGCAAAACTCCAACACTTTCGTCTCAGGTTCTAGATACGACACAAATCTGACAGAAGCATTAAAAAGTCACCTATCATTAAATGAAAGAACAGCCAATCCAACAACATTCAACAGAAGATATTGTCACTAAGGTAGTTAGATGTGGCGTTAATGAGGGGGCTATCTTAGTGGCGTGTGACATTCCCAAAAAGGTAGCAAAGGAATCTCTCGCTCTTCCGGACACCAGTCTCACGTTGTGCCTGTCCTTGCGACGGCGCGATTCAGTGGTGAGCAAATGGCATAGTGGTTGAATTCAGATGGGATCTTTTTCTTGTGGATGTGGGCGTCGCTGACTGGCCAGCATTTATTGTCTGTCCCTAGTTGCCCTTGAGAAGGTAGCGGTGAGCTGCCTTCCTGACCTGCAGCAGTGTGTGTGCTGTAGGTAGAAGCACGATGCCCATAGGGAGGGAATTCCAGGATTTTGATCCAGATTCTGATTGGTTTCAAATCCCCTCGTCTACATTTTAATAGCATTGGACTTCTAAAGACCACGATCCAATGGTGGTCTGTTTATTCCATGCCATGTTTGTCATGTTGAGCGTTCTTGTTATTGTGCAGTTTCTCTGGCTTCGAACGTCCTTCCAAACCAATTTCCTGCCGATTCAGTCTGATGCACCGTTTGCTCCTTTATCGTGGATCCACACTTCATAAAGGACTAACCAGAGGGTTGGAGTGAGGCGGTGGGTCAGAGCAGTCCGGGATAACGGTAGGATTTGAATGCATCGAACTCCTGACCCGAACTTCCTTCGTGCCTCCTGGTTTGAGGGAACTCGGTTACTCATCTTCAGAAGGTTCCAGCTCGGTTCGGCGCAGATCTCCGGATAACAGTGTCCTCCCTGGGGCCAACGAAGCCGAGGAGACGCCGGAGCGAATGCAACATCGCAGGGCTGCGAGCTTTGTCCACATTAAGATCAAAATGGATCAGATTAAAATGTTTTGCACAGAGGTCCATCGTCAGTTACCCAAAAACCATGTACTAAGATGATTGGCTATGTGACCCTTTTGTTAAAGTAAACTAGACATTTTATTCTCATTGAAATCAACAAAAGAGAGGTCTTCAACAAATCAATGAGAGATAGGTGCTATAGCAACCTGGCAGTAGCTACGAATGTCGCTTGGTTCATGACCATTACCCAACTAATCAATAGTGTTGCCTTTTAAGCTTAACGCTCAAATTCGGCCCCCGGCTCTTTCGGGCATTTGCACACCACCACCTTCCCCCCCCCCCTTCATGATCACCATATGTAGGTCTAACAGCTTCCCCCCGCCATGATCATCAAATGTAGGTCTAACAGCTTCCTTCCTTTCCAAGCCCAGTCTTCAGGCTTCACGTACGTGCCTTTTTAGAGGTCTAACTCTGTTCAGACAGACAGCCACCTGCCCCTCGCTATGGTTGAACGGGTTTGACCTTAAAAACGAAACTCTTCTCCACTTTGCAATGAGCAATCATTTCCTGGCATTCAGTCGGTGGTATTCGAGTCTGTTTCACTCGCTCTTTCAATTGCTCCTTTTCAAGCAGAATCTCTGCGCTTAATGATTACTGCTGTTTGAGAGATGGCTATTTGACACGTGTCAACATTAAGTAGCTAACAGATCCGACTGGCACAAAAGTAAGAGAGAGGAAAATAGATGTCCCGTTTTATCCCCCGCGTTTAAAATGTAATGTGCATGAATGTCACATCATGGAGAATAAAGAGCATGGTTATAATTTAAAAGGTATTGATTAATAATCAATAGGTGTCCAGTTGTGATCGTAAAAATAATACATGATATTACAACACGCTGAGCAGTTAAGCAGAGAGCTAGGAAGCTAATTTTCCCCAACAAATGATCACTGATGCACATTTGATTTTGTTGAACGATTAGCGACGTACACGATCATTACATTGTGTTTGGGCACAGACATGATTGGCTCTGTAAACCATCGAAGGGGGTTTGGGCTTTTACAGAGGCGAATTTCAATAGTCTGAACGCACTTTCTACTCAACTTCTTCCAATGTTTAGAGCATCGCATACGATAGTGAAGAGCTTGATGTCGAAGGACACCACTTCATTTCTCTTGACATCAATAAGCCCGTCAAAAAGACAGCGTTACTCTGAACTTGGATGCGTGGTTCCTAGCCAAAGCTCCTTCACCCAAACCTAGGCTTCCCCCAGGCTTAGAAAGTCAACGTCAGCAGATGCATGGGAACACCACCATGGTCCCTTCCGAGTCAGAGACAAAGGGAGTGACAATAGTGGTAAAGATGTGATAGTGACAAAAAAAGGTGATATATAACAAAGAACTGCGGATGGTGGAAATCTGGATCAAGAACAGAAAGGGCTGTAGAAGCCTAGCAGGTCTGGCAGTATCTATGGAGAGAAAGCAGAGTTAAAATTTCGAGTCTAGTGACCCTTCTTCAGAACAAGACAGCATAGGTCCTTTGTTTTATATTGGAAATATATTGCCGGTTCTTCATTGTTGCTGGTTTATATTTCTAGAACTGCCTACCTGACAGCCCCGTGGGTGTAACTGTTTCCCATGAACTGCAGTGGTTTAGCCGCCTTCTCGAAGGCAAAGATAGATGGGCGACGAATACTGGCATTGCTAGAAAGGGCCACATAAACGTAAAATAAGAACAATCTCAATATTGTAAATATTGGGCTGAGCACCCGGACACTAGTTGTCCCGAATGTTGTCAATACTGAGAGCTTTGATGAGCGAATACCCCACTAACTATGAGCTAAATTCCAATACCCGCCATGTTGAGGTAATGACACGTCAACACGTTGACACAAGACTGTGCCACTGATAAATATGGTCTTTCTTCTCAGCTGGGCTGTAGACAGAACAGGGCGTATTGCTCATTTGTATGTTGCAAATACCTCAATGTATTTGTTCGAAATGTAGCGAGCTAACAAAGGATGGTTTGTATAACTGCACGTCCCTACTGGTGTTTCACCAATATATTTGTGGACGGCCCTGTCACTGAGTGCAGTCCATGTGGCGCTTTCGGTTAAAATAGTCCTGCGCTGTATTTGTTACAACGGAAGCCCTCTGCAGTTCCCCGGGCCTCCCCAGCACCAGCTGCACAACGGCTAACCTCTACCTTCCAGCCCTTCGCTCCAACCCCACCTCCCAAACCCCCAGCCCCATACCACATTTATTTAAATTTCTTTACTTTCCCCATTGATATGGCGGTTATTTTGTTAAATTACCTAAAATATGATGGTTCGAAAAGAAAGCCCTAACCAAAGTGGCTAGCCCAGAGCTCTGAAGGTGTGTTCCTTTGGGAATCCAGCTATCCGACAGGTCATTTGTGAACTTTTAAAGCCGTGTAGCTATTCTCGAAAAGAACAATAAATTGGTGGGTAGCTCCTTAACAGGTCGATGAGAGCGCAAATACTGTGCTGTGATCAATAGGTTTAAAAATATTGATATCTCACAACGCAGTGGGCATTTGAAACGTTACGGGTGGGCTTCCTAACTGATTCCCGTTTCCTTTCTTTTGTAGGTAGAGTGGAATGAAGACGATTGGCAGGAATGATGGGATGGGGGAGGGAGCATTGTTTCCGAATGACAGGCTCTGGGAGGCGGTGTCCCAATGTTGCCCCGCAATATGCCACTGGAGCAAAGTCCAATTTAGTTCGTCCATCGCTGCAGGTGGGCATTTATCGACACGCACACCTCAAGCGTTCGATTTGCAACCCGATCCTTTATTGTTACTTCTCCGCACCTTTAGATCGAAGCAATGGTTTTGTAACAACTCGTCCCCTCTAAATCCTGGAAGCCCCCATGGA